AGCCATCCCAATGTCACTGCATACAAGCTGGGAGAGGCTAAAGCTAAACTTGTGTGGTCTTGACAAAATAGCCGTGCCTCGGTACGTTATGGCTAGTGGGTGCTCGTCGATTCAAGTGCATGGCTTCGCGGACGCGTCTCAGTCAAGCGTATGGGTGCTGCATTTATGTGCGAGCGCTTTTCGAAGGTCAAACGTACGTTCGATTGATCGCTGGGAAAGCAAGAGTAGCTCCCCTAAAAACAAAGACCATCCCGAGGCTCGAATTGTGCGCCGCAGCGTTATTGGCGCAATTTTGGGCCTACGTAAAGCAAGTTTTGGAAAAGTGTCGAATCGAGAGCGTATTTTTCTGGACGGATTCAGAAACAACGCTACATTGGATTAAAACCCAACCGTCGTCACTTGCAGTATTTGTCTCAAATAGAGTAGCCATGATTCAGGAGCTATGTCAGGGCATTACGTGGCGTCATGTCCCATCGCTGTCGAATCCAGCGGACTTGGCGTCTCGCGGATGCGAAGTGCCTGAGCTCCTGGAGTCCATATGGCTAGAAGGTCCGAAATTTTTATGTGAGCCTGAGCATTGTTGGCCAGAGAACCCGAATTTTAACATCCCAGATAATGTGAAGAACTCCGAGGCGAAACGGTCCGCCCAGGTTCTAATTGGCGTTGCGAACTCGTTTTCAAATGAAATATTTTCTCGTTTTTCGTCGTACCCCAAATTAGTTCGAGTTTTTGCGTATTGTAACGAAATATCAAATTCAAATTGTAGCGCCCTTAGAGCCCTTGACCCGGGCTATCGATAGTTAGCGGTCATCTCGAACGGGCAGACGTAGGGCAGAAAAGAAGAAGAAAAAGCACATGTATGAAGAAAAGATCAAGCGTGAAGGTTATGCGCTAAGAATAAACTGAAGAAATAAGTAGAAGGTGTGTTATAATTTCACGGAATAGGACGGCTACCGAGTTTAGGCTGCTGCCTTTGTTAAAGTTCAGCCCCCCAACCTGAAAGGAAAATCCGCTCGGCCCGCCGCGTAGCACAATTTTGTTACATTGGTGTCAGGTGTGGGGTAGCGATCAGATCTGCAACGATATCAAGCCATAATGCCAAAACGAGGAGGAAAACAACGTGACCGTTCCGTGAATCCGGAGCCCGAGGTAGTGACGCCAGCTTCATTGACGGCGATTTTAACCGCTTCCCAGCACCAGATGGATCTCAAAATAGAGAAGATGTTCGATTCGTTTCAACGAACGATGCAACGTGTAATGGAGGCCCCACCACGAAATTCGTCGGTCCCTTTCCCAGAAACACTGGCCAGACCTCCCGCCGCATGGACGTTCGCAGCAGATGCAAGGGAAAACGACGCGGTGACTGTGTGCCCTGCGACCTTCAAGCGGCCGAGTAACTGCCTTTCAACCTGGGACACTGCCTTCGTACGACGGCTCGACATCATGGTCTGACTACGAGCGAATTCTGGAAATGGTGGCGGAGAATCAACAGTGGAGCGACGCTGAGCGCTGCCTGGGAATAGCACTGAATGTTCAGGGGCAAGCCCAAAGGTACTTCAGCACACTACCAGTCAGCACAACTCGCAACTATCAGCAACTAGTGGTATCGATTCGAACACAGTTTGCTCTGGACTGCCAGGCCAGCTACCAACAGTTGCGCAACCGCGCACAACGATCCAAGGAGTCTCTTATGGATTTCGCCATAGAACTTGAACGCTTGGGTCGCGTGGTGTTTGCCGGTACTTCGGAGGACGTCTATAATTCCATAATGGTGCAGCAGTTTGTTGATGGCATGCGTGAAACGACACTTCAGTATCCCGTGCTGGCCAGTAAGCCCTCGACTCTCGCCGAAGCCCGAGACATGGCCATTAAACTCCAAACGCTGGTGGTGCGAAACACCGGTCGCTCCGTGTTCTACGTGGCCGACGCCCCTAGCGGACAAGGATCGAATGCCACACCCCGCAGTCGAGGTCGAGAGTCCACCGCATCGCGAGCAGGGCCCAAGCCACTCGAAGAGGTCGCCGCGGGAAACTAACGGAAGTCAGCTCCGCGGGGCGAGAGTTGACTGCCACCTACATAGCCCCCAAAAAAAAAATAGACGACCAGGTGCCGCCACAACAGGTGTCGCGGACAGCAGAAGCCGCCAACGACGAGCAAAGGGTGCCAGAAGAGGAAGAAGTACTTCGGATATCGAAGCTCAACAACCTCACTGGGCATTCCGCGTCGGAGCCGGCAGCGTCGACACAAGTAGACAAACCCAAAAACGAAGCGGGCAGCGTACTAGCGTTGCCCTTCAAAGAATCGATGCCCACAACAGATGGAGAGGCGGAAGAGGACAGCCAAGGCAGCGATGCACCGACAGCTACGTACTCCCGTAACACATTAAGTGACAAAAGCTTACATTGTGTAATTCTATTTCAGAAACGCCCGGTACGGATGGTAGTAGATACAGGGGCCTCAGTATCCCTGCTCAACAGGCGGGACGTGAGGGCCGCACTGCGTACCACCGCTTGCCATGTGGTCCTGCGGGGGCCATCCTCCGAGACGTTTGCTGCGATTCAGCGCGTCTCCGCAACTATACGGATCGGCCACCGCGCAGTGCTGCAAGACTTTCTGCTGGTGGACGGCGCCCCGCCCAGCCTGCTGGGAGTCGACTTTCTCCTCCAGAACGAAGCGACGGTGGACCTAAGCGCGATGCTCCTTAAGTTTGCCTGGGGTACGGTGCCATTGCACGTTACGAGTTCTTATCAAGGGAACGTGCTCTACTTAACGGAAAGAGCGTGCATACCACCCCGGAGCGACACACAATTTAACCTGAGCTGCGCCCCGGTGACGCCGCAGAAACAAGTGATCCTAGAACGTGGAGAAGTATCGGATCTACCCCCGGGCACGGCTCTGGGTAACGCCATCGTAGACGCTACCGGCGACACCCTAGTGGTACGGATCCTGAATTTCAACGACCAAGAAGTGAACCTGCCACCGCTAGCGGTGTTGGGCGAATTGAAAGCGGTAGACGAAGTGCGTAAGAGGGCGGAGTCGGAGGAGGATCCCATAGATTGGAATCCTCTGCTGGATTACGTCGAGCTTGGCGTCCGGAAGCCGCTGGTGAAGTTGCTCTGTCGTTATCGCAAATCATTTGCCAGAAACGACGACGAGACGGGCAAGACCGACATCACGCACCATGTCATTAACACGGGGCAAGCACGGCCCCATAAGCAACCACCCCGGCGGTTGGCGCTAGCGAAGAGAGAAGAAGTGGAGCGCCTGCTAGCGGAGATGCGCGCCAACGGAGTGATACGTCCTTCCAACAGCCCCTGGTCCTCACCTGTAGTATTAGTCCGTAAGAAGGATGGTGCGACCAGGTTCTGCGTAGACTACCGACGGCTCAATGATGTCACGATTAAAGACTCGTATCCCCTGCCGAGAACGGAGGACATTCTGACGACCCTGCATGGTTCCAATTGGTTCTCTACAATGGAGCTGCAGAGCGACTACTGGCAGGTGGAAATGGACGAACTTTCCAGGCCAAAGACTGCCTTTGCCTGTGGCGCCGGATTGTTCGAGTTCAACGTAATGCCGTTCGGATTGACCAATGCCGCGGCAACGTTCGAGAGGCTGATGGACGGATTGTTTGCTGGCCCCACCTGGAGATCAACGCTGGTGTACTTAGACGACATCATCGTGCACTCGAGCACGGAAGAAGAGCATTTAGAGCATTTGGAAAAGGTGTTCGAACGACTGGCAGCAGCGGGATTAAGACTGAGCCCAAAGAAGTGTCAATTTTTGAAGAACGAGGTCAACTTTCTAAAACACGTGGTGGGCAGTCAGGGTCTGCGGGCTTGCCCGGAAAAGATAACTAAGGTCACTGACTGGCCAAGACCGCAAAACCAAAAGGAGGTGCGCTCATTTGTAGAGCTCTGCTCTTATTACCGGAAATTTATCAACGACTTCGCAACGATCGCCAAACCCCTCCACGAATTGACGGAGGCTCGGCGCACCATTACCTGGACCACAGCTACGGAGCAATCTTTCGACACGCTGAAGACTAAGCTAACTACAGCTCCGATCCTAGCCTTTCCAGAACCAAAAGAACTTTTCGTGTTGGACACGGATGCCTCTGACCATGGGGTAGGCGCCGTACTGAGCCAGATGCAGAACGGTCAAGAGGTGGTCATCGAATATTACAGCAAAACCTTCAGTACTGCAGAGCGCAATTATTGCGTAACTCGAAGAGAACTGTTGGCCGTTGTTAAGGCCACCAAACATTTTCACCATTATCTCTACGGACAGAAATTTGTCGTACGGACGGACCGGAAGGCCAAGTAGCAAGATGGATCGAGAGACTGCAACAGTACGATATGGAGATACAGCACCGCCCTGGGAAACGCCACGGTAATGCAGACGGACTATCTCGCCGTCCCTGCAACGATTGTCGAGTTTGCGAAAAAGCAGAAGAAAAGGCGGGACGAGTACTTTTCCTAGAAGCAGTACCAGAACCTCTAAGCGAACACCAGAAGAAAGACACGGAGCTAGCAGTCGTCTATGAATGGGTGGTGCGAGGAGAGAGGCCGCCGAAGGGTACAATTTGGGGTGAGAGTCCAGACGTGAAAGCTTATTGGCACCTATTCTCTCGTTTACAGCTGAAGGAGCTAGTGCTTATGGTCACCAACCGAGATGGCGAACAGGTCCCCCCTGTCATCCCGATAGCAGTACAGCCGCAAATCCTGCAAGCCGTCCACCAATCTTCCACCGGAGGCCACTTCGGTATCAGGAAAACTCTGGGCAAGGCTAAGAAACGGTTTTACTGGATCGGTCTAAGCGCGGACGTAGCAATATACTGCGCTCGTTGTTTGGCGTGTCAAGCCAGAAGCGATCCGGCCAGACGAACGGTCGGCAGGCTCCAGCCCAGCGCCATAGGTGCCCCATTCGAACGAATCGCCATAGACATACTGGGCCCCTTACCCACCACCACCCGGGGCAACCGATACATAGCTGTCGTCATGTGCTACTTTACCAAGTGGCCTGAATGCTTAGCTCTACCCGACCAGACAGCAGAGAAGGTGGCGTGCGCCCTAACGGAAGAGGTGTTCTGCCGGTATGGAGTCCCCTTTGTGCTTCATTCGGATCAAGGAAGGAACTTTGAATCGGAAGTTTTTCGAGCCTGCCTACGATTAATAGACATCGAGAAAACCCGCACCACCCCCCTCCACCCACAATCAGACGGGATGGTTGAACGTTTCAACCGCACGCTGCTCAGCTATTTGGCTAAATTCGTAGATGACCATCAACGGAACTGGGATGAACGGTTGCCGTGGGCGCTGTGGGCCTACCGAGCAGCAGTTCACGAGGCTACTGGATTCTCGCCCGCGAAGTTAACCTTCGGCCGGGAGATGCGATTGCCGTGTGAGCTGCTGTATGGTCGACCAACACCCGACGCAGAGAGCTACCCGGCCTTTGTAGCTAAACTACAGTCTCATTTGCGAGAAACACATCATGCCGCAAGGGAACACCTGAAGGCCGCGGCAGGCCAACAAAAGTACCGTTACGACCTACGCTCCCACACCGTCCAGTTCGAGCCGGGTGATCTCGTATGGCTGTATGCACCCGTTCGGAAAGTGGGACGATGTCCGAAGCTCCAATCAGACTGGATTGGCCCCGCCACCGTGATCCGCAGTTCTTCCGACCTAGTCTACGAGATACGCCTTCCCGGAAAACGCACCACCAGGACGGTACACGTAAACCGACTAGCGAGCTACAAGGAACCTGTTCCTGAATAAGTCGGCCAGGAGGCTCAACTTTAAGAGGGGGCAATGTAACGAAATATCAAATTCAAATTGTAGCGCCGTTAGAGCCCTTGACCCGGGCTATCGATAGTTAGCGGTCATCTCGAACGGGCAGACGTAGGGCAGAAAAGAAGAAGAAAAAGCACATATATGAAGAAAAGATCAAGCGTGAAGGTTATGCGCTAAGAATAAACTGAAGAAATAAGTAGAAGGTGTGTTATAATTTCACATAATAGGACGGCTACCGAGTTTAGGCTGCTGCCTTTGTTAAAGTTCAGCCCCCCAACCTGAAAGGAAAATCCGCTCGGCCCGCCGCGTAGCACAATTTTGTTACAGTATGTATACCGATTTGCTAATATCGGCAAGAACAAGGAACGTTACAGGGAGCTAACTGCAAAGGAGTTGCAGCAATCGTCTCTAAAATTGATGGAGCTGGTTCAGCCAAGCGTCTTCTCTGAAGAGTTTAAGAAGCTGAAAAAAGGGCATACGCTGCAACCGAGCCTGCAGATGATGGCCCCTTTTATCCAAAAAATATCAGAGGAGGGGCGATCTTTTACACTTATCAGGGTCGGAGGAAGGCTATTGCATGCTCCAGTGCCAATAGAGGCTAAGTTTCCGGCCAAGAGTCAATTCGTCGAACTCTATTTGAGGAACCTGCATATTAAAAATTGTCACGCCAAAGCAAAGACGTTAGTAAGTTTGCTGAGACAAGAGATTTGGCTAGTAAATGCACGTCGAGAATGCACTCGCATAGTGAGGAGATGCATCCACTGTTTTCGATACAAACCTAAATTGATGGGTCAGATTATGGGGAATCTTCCAGCAGACAGGTTTAGGGAAGGTCGTCCGTTCCTGATTTGCGGGGTAGACTTTTGTGGTCCCATCAACGTCTCGCTTCGGATTCGAGGTCTTCAGCCGCTCAAAATGTACATCGCGGTATTTGTGTGTTTCGCTTCGAAGGCCGTCCATTTAGAGCTTGTCCCAGATCTGTCGACTAATTGTTTTCTTTTATCTCTAAAATGCTTCATCGCAAGACGTGGCGTTCCGCTGAGGATGTATTCCGACAACGGGACAAATTTCGTCGGAGCCCGGAACGAGCTGCAGAGGCTTCAGGAAGCGTTCGAGGAGCAGCAGTCCAGCCTGAGGACGTTCGCAGCGGAGCAAGGGATGGAGTGGAAGTTCATCCCCCCGCGAGCACCGCACTTCGGCGGTTTATGGGAGGCGGCCGTCAAGTCGGCAAAGCTCCTGATCGTGCGGCAGGTCGCGGACGCCGCGCTCACCGAGAGCGAGGTGAGGACCGTGTTGGCCGAGGCCGAGGCCATCATGAACTCCAGGCCGCTCACTCCAACCAGTACCAGTACGCCAGGCCACTTTTTGATCGGCCAGCCCCTTCGTTCGCTGCCGCAAGGGTGCGAGCCAGACGGACGGAGCAGCGGTACCACCTTTACCAAGAGGTGGCAACTACTCTCCGAGCTCAAACGACGGTTCTGGCAGGCTTGGTCGAAGGACTACGTCCACAACCTGCAGGGACGCTCAAATGGCAAACCCCAGAGGCCAACATCGAGGTCGGCGCCATGGTGGTGGTCCACAACGACCATACGCCGCTGCAGCAGTGGATCACCAGCGTCGTCGTGGGAGCAGACGGCAAGGTCAGGGTGGCAGAGGTGCGAACAGGAGGGGGCGTGATTAGACGCCCAATCCATAAGCTGGCACTTTTGCCGATACGTTGAAGCCCGACGTGCGGTCGTTCAAGGCGGCCGGAATGTCGTTACACCATAGAATAATAGTCAATAAGTAGAAAGCAATGAAGTTATGTATGAAATGTAATGTAGTTCGTAAGGTTACGGCATGAAGTCCCGCCACTGTAAATCCAAGCAACATGTAACTACACGCCCGCAGCATAGCCGACAAGCGATGCGTGGGAATAAAGCACTCGTAAATTGAACTTCGTTTCGCACGGTTTATTTTTTGATCGCCCTTTATCGCCGCCCACAGCTCTGGTCTGTGCTGCTAATTCCCGCGTCTGAAGCCTAAGTAAAGGCATCAAACAAACAAACAAAAATAATTTCGAATTTTCTACAGTCCTCGTGAATTAGAAATATCTTGTAATTCAGGACCCTGGACAGACTGATGCATACCTCAGCCTGAAATAGGACATTACAAGTGGTGCCCGAGCAGGGACTTTAAAGGAATTTTCGTGGAAACTTAAAGAAAACCGAAATCAGGGACTTCGTGGATTAAAGACCCACTGCCATCAAAAAGAAAATTGAATCAATAACAAGTCCGCGCACTTACATAATCCGGGCGCGAAAACAAACGCGAAAGTCGTTGGTTCCGCACCAGCCGCCTACAAAGTTCCTCATTGGAAAATTTCCGCCAGGAATTTTTAACGTTCTTCTTGCCACCACTTTCGCACCCCCGCGCAACACGCCAAGATACCCAAGGCCAGCTACAGAGCAGAAGAACAGTGACTCGCAGCGGACGCCATTTCGGAGACCACATTGGGAGTCGACAGAAACACCAGGGAGACCGCCAGCTCAGCCAAACAGTACGATGAATCCCGATATAGCACCTCGCATGATCACGACCCCCATCGCCAACCCACGCACCGCCTGTCGCCGGTGTGGTGGAGCCGGGCATGCGGCATACGACTGCCATAGTCCCACGATCCTATTCTGCTGGGAATGTGGCAAGCGCGGCACACGGACCGTCGATTGCTGCCGCCAGAATACGTCGGGAAACTGACACGGGATCAGCCGGGAACGACGCCTCCTCCAACCCGCGACTAAATAGCTCTCTACACGTAAGCAACGGCCGGATAGTGGCGATGGTAAGCATAGGAGGACACGCAACGGAAGCCACAATCGACACCGGGGCATCCAGAAGCTTCATCAGCGCAAACCTCGCCCGACAACTAGACAACAACACCAACCTGCAAGAAACATGTGTCCGCATACGCCTGGCCGATGGCTCGGTCAGAGAGATCTCACAAGTTCTACTGGCGCACATCAAGCTGGATCAACGAGAGGTTCAAATCCCGCTCCTGGTCCTTCCAAACTTGTTGGCACAAGTCATTGTCGGCATGGACTTCCTAGGTGCCACCGAAACGACGATCCAATGCGGCTCCACGCTGCTACAGCTACGAGACCGTCACCCCATGCCCACTGAATCCGTGCTTACAACCATCCACGTACAAGACGCTGAACCTCGATACCAGAAACTTCAACAAATCGCAACGAACCTACGTCCATGACCTACCACAACGCTCACGGCACCCAATAACGCAACGCAGCACTTGACACACTTGACAACACACTAACCAAGCAGTCGGGAAGAGGAGTCCCTCGGTCACTACGGAGCAACCGCGTCCTAGGCCCAAAACAGTCTCACACACGAGACAAACACACTTGAACCCGGCGCTCGACACAGGAAGCCCAGATCGAAGACAAGCAACAGAGCAAACACGCACAGAATCCGCAACGGAAGAATTAAACACACGGACACCCTCAAAGCCGACCACCAGCATCGAACAAGGACAACGGCAGCCACCGATAGCCCAGCAACACGGGAGACAGCCACGCTAACCCCACGCTGGTCGGGGCCCATAATTGAACTGATATCCACAGAGCCCCTCAACGCGGGCCCGGAAACCAGGACGATACCCCCACGATGCCCAGACCGCCGCCCTGTCCCCCCCACGGCCGACGCCACACCGATCCTCGCCAACACAATGGCGTACCTTCCGCGTACTGACATGATTCTTAGCGCCATGCAACGAGCCATGCCTAGAGCCATGTCCGAGATCTTCGTCGCCCACACTTGCTGCGATACCAGAGGCGTCATCGCGACCTACCTGTTCACGTACCAGTCTGGCTGTAGTATAACACGGGTACTACATCCGGCATACCAAAATATAGTACCCATGGCCGACCCCACACCCATCGTCGCCCACATAAGCGACTACCAACGGAGGATCGAAACGCCCAGCGCCTTCGACACAACCCTCTTACCCGAAGACCCCAGCCAGCCATTTGACTCCGAAGCCGCCGATCCAACCGGATATGAGCCCGAACCAGTCCCGGAGCCGTGGCCGCCGGACTTGGCCCCGCAGATCCAAACATTTACATTCGACAGACCCATCCTACCGAAAGACCCAAATCAAACCTTTGACCCCGGAGCCACCGAACCCACCGAAGACGACCCAGAAATACCGACGGATCCTTGGCCACCCGACATAGCACCGCCGATCCAACGAACCAACGAACCTCGTTACAAACAGCTCGGGAACAACAGTCAAACTGATAGCCGCAGAGACACCGAACCCTGGCTCTGGCCACGTCTCTCCTCACAAATAGCGGTGCGTCAGCACCCCGGAAATAAAACAGTTTTAAGCACACAATTAATTAAGAACTCTCGATCAACAACACCCCACCTCTTGGGAGATTGCGCAATCGACGGCCTACATAAGAAATATCATTTGCGTTATTTTACAATAAGTCAAGCCAGCATAAAATTATCGACTTACCACTCAACTTCCGCGATGCAGAGTTAGCAAAAACTCATTTTTTTGAAACCAAGTACCCAATTCCCAACTGCACCTTCCGGAATGCAGCATCAGCAAAACCACCCTGACCCACAAAAAATTTTCAACGAAGCACCAAGCTTCGACCTAGTTACCACACCCTACAACTATTATTATCCAATAACCTTAAGTCAGCAAGATTTAATTATTTCAGAGTCTCAGGTGCGATCGCCAGCTACATAAAAGGGCCAAGATCGGCCGAAAGAGTAGGCAGTCCATCAGCCCAAACACAAGACACTGCACAAGGCAGTCCCTGAGTCACACACCCAAGACACTGCACTACGCAGTCCACCAGCGCACCATACCACTACAAGCCGGAGTAGTACTGTACTGCACTTTCAAGCCAGCCCGACACCTGAAGTCACCTACAATCTACAAATTTTCTTGTAGCGGACCCTGGACAGACTGATGC